CTTAAAAAAAAAGTGAGTAAAAAAAGTCTTTGACATGTTACATGAGAGAGGTCAGTGTTATGTTTGGGAACGATTTTCGGAAACATAAGGTTGTTATCTCTTTAAGGTTTGCCGATTTTATAGAAGGAGTCGGTCATGCTTTTTCCAAATCGAAGTAACAAAAGAGCGTTGGCTTGTCACTTAAATTTTTTTTGTTTTACTGTTATGGCCTCTAAGTGTCTATATAGTTGACTATTAGTTTTTGTCTGTTACTGGTTTTTGAAAATGTGTAAACAGGAAACAAAACAAATTCAGCATCCAATATGCCACATAATATTTTACTAGTTATTGGACTATTTATCTGCTGTTTACTAAATTTTTTTCTATAATATATAATAGATTGGCATCAACCTTGTTTTTTCTTTGGACTGTGTAAGATATACGATTTTGTTTAAGTTCTTCAATGAATATAATTAACAATAGATAAACGCTAACACGTGTATTTTAATGATTATAAAATTTAGGATCAAAGATTGAGAAAATATAAATAACTTTTAAATTATTACTGTCCGCTGCTAAAAAAAATTTTTGATAAAATCTACTATAAAAACTCATGTAACACAAGTACGGAAAAAAATTTTTTCTAATACCGATTAGTACCATTGTTGATTAAAAAAATTTTTTTTTTATCTGCAAGGTCAACAGAAGCTTTAATAAACCCGTCAAATTTTTTTATTGTAAGGTAAAAAAAGTGGGGTGCTGTGGTGAATTAGGAAGTATTATAAGCATTTAATATGCAAGAAACACAATGAACATAATAAACCATCACAATACTCTATTCCGCCACAATATCCTACTTTACTTTATATGGTGGGAAGGAATTTTAATAATTTAAAATTCAATAGGAAAATGGAAATAATTCTTTTATCAGTAATTCATGTGTGCAATTTACAGCCAAACCGATTTTAAACGTCTATAAAGGGGGTTTTTTTTTATTTATTAAATTCTCTTTATAACTGCTTATATATTTATACAGTAACATATTACATTAATTTGTACAATTTTACTAAAAAATTAAGATGTTACACCAGATCAGAAAAAAAAAGTATCAGTGATTACGATAATAAAAAAAAAAAAAAAAAAAGAGAGACGAAAAAAAAAAAAGAGCGATTGTACTATGTACAAAATGAATTCTAAAATTTCCACTTTCCAAAAAAAAGGACCAACTAAAATACGTAATTGAATTTACAAATAGAATTAAAGCGAGAAATAAATATTCTATGTATAATCGAATGTTTTAAGTAATATTATTTAAGCGTTTTCTTCTTTGACTGGTTTTCCAGTATTCACACTCCCAGTTGCAGGAAATAATTCTGCCAAAATTTCATTCAATAAATCTGTGTATGCAGGATAACTTGAAGGATCAGCCAAAATATTTTTGAAACCACTTGTCTGTCTAACGGTAACGAAATTAAGAACTACATATTTCATT